AGGTCATAGTGCTCTAACTAAAATTATGCCTTAGATAATAAATAATAGTAAAAGTTCTTTACAATTATAATATAAAAAGCAATTTCCAAAAAAAGAACAAAACACCAATTTGGACTCCTGCTCTAAAAAAGATATTGATCACCCATTCCATTCAATAAACAGACATCATTACTGCTATAAGAAAGAAATGGAACTGAGCTGCAAACTATGTTGCCATGGTAATAGCTGTTGCATGGCTGATAAGACTGTGAACATGTTTTGTATCTTATCAATGGAACATTGCAAGAATTAATTTTTAGACTGCATGAAATACTGAAGAGCACTTACTAATTTTTCTTGATAATCATCAAATATTTTGCCCCTATTTTTTCCATCTTACAAACTCCACAATCACAGCATCACTATCAATTGTTCATACCTTATAATATTTTCATTATTCTGAAAAAAAACATTAATAAATTCACTGTAGTATTAGCTATAATATGTGAATATTACGGGGGTGAAATTGCACCCCCTACTGGTCGGTAGAAAATGCTATTTGAACATACATCCATTTTATGAAACCAATCGTCCTATTTAGTGTTGTGGGGGAGGGGGGAGTCCTGGAACCAATGGGCACAAGGCAGGGACCCACATAGGATGGGATGCCAACCCATGGCACATTCACACCTCTGGGCAGTTTGATAACTCCAATTAGCCTCAGCATGTTCTAGGACTGTGGGGGGAAACCAGAGTACCCAGAGGAAACCCTATGAGGATACAATGGGAATAAGCAAACTCCAGACACATGTAACTCTGGTGGAGGCTTGAACCCAGGTTCTAGAGGCGTGAGGTAACAGTGCTAACCACCACACCACCCCCTATAAATAATACCAAGCTGAAATTAAATTATACTGAAAATGTATATTTAAAAATAAAGCTCATGTTATTCATTTGTGTAATAATAAGTTACAGTAAATGTGTTTGTTATGTATTTTACAAACTTTTTTTTACCTGGATGAATGATTGACCGTCTCACCTTACACCCCCAAGAGTCGCCTTCGAGCTATAGTATAATGAAAATACCATATGTCAGATGGATTCCAAGCTGCCAAAGTTGAGTGCTTCAGCCTGGTGCTATTATTGGCATAATAGTACTCTGGTACAAAATGAAAAATACAAAAAAGTAAAAAAAGGATGTGTATTTTACATTCTGAAGGCATTACCTATGTTGATATTAATAGAATTTAGATGAGCAAACTTGTTCATATGGAGGGCATCTTCATGGCCACAAATATGTGAAGGCACATTGCCTTCTTGCAAATTACTCTGTTATATTCTCATGCAACATGTAGGCCTATATAAATAATATGCACCAAGGTGTGTCAGAGATTAGTCCCCAGGTTACAAATCCCTTCCCTAAGTTTGTCTTGAAGTCAAATTTGTATTTGTCGGGAAAAGAATAATATAGTACAAAGTAAAAGTAATAATAATATTAATGATAATAAAAATAATAATAAAGTACTAATAAAAGTAACTACATATAGTACTGCACTGTACCTTGAACCAACAAACTGCTGAAGAAGCACAATGTTTTCACAAGTGTCACAAAGTAATGTGTGCATTCGTTATTACAAGCCATTATATTTAACTTGAATTTTTAGCGCAATAGACTTAATGGCAGTCCATAAAGTTCATAAGTATGAACTGTCTGTACGTTGAATAATCTTAACTAGAGGACTGCCTGTATATGCAGACATTTGTATACTAACCTCCAAAATGGTTATAATGAGATTATATTATTGGATTGTCCATAACAAACAACCTGCTCTACAGTGTACCAGCACACCATAGGCAAAAGGTCAATGATTAAGTATAACTGTGTGAAGGGGATAGAAGTAATCCAGCAAACTACAGGCCAATCAGTTTAACTAGCATTACTGGAAAAATAATGGAAGCTATAATCCAAGTGAAAATGGTAGATTACCTGGATGCAAATAACATTCTGAGGGATAGCCAACATGGATTTAGGAGAGGTAGATCCTGTTTAACGAATCTACTTGACTTCTTTGAGGAAGCTACAAGTGAAATTGATCAAAAAAAGGCTGACGATGTAATATACTTAGATTTCCAGAAGGCCTTTGATGTTGTCCCCCACAAACGGCTCTTGCTAAAGCTCGAAGTTGCAGGGATTTTAGGAACTGTGGCAGCTTGGATCGAAAACTGGTTAACTGACAGGAAGCAGCGAGTAGTTATTAGAAGCACAATGTCACAGTGGGCCTGTGTTCATAGTGGGGTACCACAGGGTTCAATTTTAGGACCACTACTGTTCCTAAATTACATTAATGATATTGACACCAATACATACAGTAAACTGGTTAAATTTCCAGACGACACCAAGGTGGGTGGTGTACTGTAGCAGATACTGATCTAGTAGCAGAGAGGCTACAACGGGATCTGGATTTAATTAACGACTGGGCTGATACTTGGCAGACGAAATTTAACACAGATAAATGTAAGGTAATACA